TTGTTAATTATGATCTTGAGATCCAATGCGGTGGGTGTAATTTTTATTGCAATTGTTAGAAATTTCTCTTGTCCATTGCAAATGGAGCTGGAAGAGTCATTGTTGACAATTCTCCTGGCACAGTGCTAATAATGGACTACTAGATCAAAATGGCTCTAGTGCTTCTGTTGACAATTCTCCTGGCACAGTGCTAATAAGGGTAATAATGGACTAGATCAAAATGGCTCTAGTGCTTCTTCTATTAGTGAAGTTTCTAGAAAAAAAAAATATATCCAACGGCGCAATGCACCTTGGGTCGCTATGAAAACAGTCTCCTTGTATAATTACAAGGGTAAGGTCTGCGTACAACTGACCCTTCAGACCCCAACCTGTTGGGAATATACTGGGTATGTTGTTGTTTGTTAGAAATTTCTCACACTAGGAGAATTGGGGGTGGGAGGGATTGACATTGGAAATGTTAGTTGATAACTTGGGTTTATAGGACTGTATGAGGCCATTGAAGGGAGTAAGCTTTACATTTTGATTCATAGCATATGAGGTTTTATTTGCTTTCCCATTCTTGATGAAGTGTACATACTTTATCACATGATTATCTTGATAAGCAAATCATGCTTAGGTATGCCGAACTTCTTCATTTTTTCACAAGATATTTGGTTATGCTTCTTACAGCGGATTCAGTATGCGAAAACAAAATCTGATGTCATTGCAAAGGCTGATGGTACCTTTGTTCCTAGAGAAAAAAGGAAGAAGCAAGATGACAAAGGTAAGAGACTTTTCATTGTTTCATTTGACATATGAAAAGGCGATCATGAGTCCTTTTTACCTTCTCCCCTGTTACTTGTTCTCTACTTTTTATATTGTTTTAAACTGCCAGTATAAATTTGACAATTGATTTGTCCTTCCCTTTTCTTCCACTACTACTTGCATGGTTCTTGTTTGGCTTCTTGACTTTGAGATGACCTAATTAAACTGTTTCTATCTTTTTAACAGAATATATTTTCGAGAATACTGTCTCTTTTTAAGTTACATTTGTCAGTACCACTCAGTCAAGTCATGAATACTCTACTCTAGTGAACTGCATTAAAAATTCTAAAGCTCCTAATATTTGCTACGAATATCGTACTAGTTACTGCTGAAGTTTCACATTGTCATGTTAAAACTTGTTGAGCATTTTGAAATGTTTCATCCAATTTTATGCTTTGTCATGCGACTTGGTGCAAGTCCCTCAGGGTTTGCATACCTGTAGACTTGGGTTTGCATTATCATTATGTACATTATTATTCTGGATTGACACAGAAAATCTTACAGATTTACCCGCTTCATTTTTCTTGTTATTCATCATTTAATCTATTATCTGTTAATGTAACACAGGAAGGAAGAAGAAAGAGCAATATGATGCTAATCAAGCAGCTGCTGTTCTTAACCCTGCATATGCTGGTGCTTACGGATCAGCCCCACCTGTAAGTATTTGGTCAAGGACAGCCTTAGTCCTTAATTCTGTTAGATCTTAATCATTATTAATTAATTGAATGTTGAAATTTCATGAGGTGAATGGATCCAACTGGCGCCAATTAGCTACTTTTGCTATTGACTTTGTTTGACTTAGACGGTGCTTTGCTAAGTTCGTTTAAAGGTTCTTACAACTTCAGTCTTATATGATATTTCTAGAACATGTAAGGTCCTGATTGGATACAAGTTAATTCTGGATTTGATTGAGTTTGGTTTGAGTTGGGATTTTGAGTTTGCATTTGAATAGTATTTAAAATATAGTGAGTAAAGTTGATGTGATGTAAAAGTAGGAGATAAAATGATGTAAAAATATAGTAAGTTATTGGAAGTGATGGTGATAAAATTATGTGAATGAATGAATATTGAATTAAAGTTGATGTGATGTGTGAGGATGTTTGATTGATATTATTTAATTATATTAGTAATATTGAGGGAGAGTTTGGTTGAGTTAAGTTTTGAGTTGAATTTTGAGTTAAAAAAATCATCTTTCATCTCTGGATATTTTATATGCAATCATGCCCAATCGTCCAAACTCAACAAGGAAATAAGTTGTTGAAGTGTTAGGGTGAAACATAAGTTGGTGAATCTTTTCATTTGTTAGTAATGACGATTTTGTGAGTACGCTAATAGAAGGGAAGGAGTTATCTTAATGTAATAATTCCTTTATGCTTCTAACATCTTATATACTTTTGGGAGCTCATGATCTATTCATAATCATATCTATTCTCCTCATCTGTTCGTGTGTATTGACAGTCAAAAAAAAAAAACAATTCTTATATACAACATTTGGTGCAGTTATCACAAATACCGTATATGGGAGCTAGAGCTGTCCCGGAGGCACCGGCCCCACCAAACAACATCCTGTTCATCCAGAACCTTCCTCACCAGACAACTCCTGTAGTGCTGCAAATGATTTTCAGTCGTTGTTCTGGTTTTAAGGAAGTCCGAATGGTGGAAGCTAAGCCTGGAATTGCTTTCGTAGAGTATGAGAACGAGATGCAATCGACAGTTGCTATGCAGAGCTTTCAAGGGGCTAAGATTGATGATGACAGTTCAATGTTGATCACTTATGCAAAGAAGTAGATGAAAATCTGTTTTTGTTTTTTTTTTTTTTGGTAATTTCCCTCTGGCTTTTAGAATCAAACTGATTGAATTGTTTTACTTACTGGAGTATCAATTTGTACCATGGTGACTTTTTAGTGTAATTACTTGGTAGACACATGATTTGGTTTACTTCTGAATTACTTTCTCAATTACCCATTTACTTTTTTCATTACTTGTTATTGATTGTGGTATTATTTAATTATATTGATAATATTGAGGATAGTAGAGATGATTAGAGTTGAGTTAGATTTGAGTTGAGATTATTTTTATTTTTTTTAAACAACTGCCTTCTAACTTCCGTATGTTTATTTCTGCTGTCACCACTAGTGATTTGAGCTATGTTAATGAAGCACGCTAGATTAGTTTTTTCACAGATTAAATTTTCATTGAACACGAGTGTTAAAAGAGTAGTTTTTTCACAGATTAAATTGTCATTGAACACGAGTGTTAAAAGATTAGTTTTGCACAGATTAATTTGTCATTGAACACATGAGTTAAGATTAGTTTTGCACAGATTAAATTGTCATTGAACACGAGTATTTGTTAACGTATTTCATAGTATGATCAAACTATTGTGGAATTATCCACATGACAAATCTCTTAGAAACGAACATAATGCATATAGTAAGTATGTCACAATAATCATTACCATTTCATTGGAACAGAAAATATTTTCCCACCAAAATATTGAACAAAAGAAGAAAGTAATAAAACTAGGTATGAATCATTATACTCAATTTCAATTAGGAATTGGAAACAATTGAACCTTACAAATCATTTCGAAACAAAGGCACCTTGTAGCGATATCAATATGCATTGAAAGAGAAAACCCAGTACCTATTGCCATTGAAGACTCAAGTAGTTGTAACTCAAAAAGGCAACACAAAAAACATCACATTAAACAAAATTGCAATCTCATAAACAAATCCAAAAAAAGTATTCCTGACAAAATGGAGATAAACTGAAGGGGAAGAACATGAAAAAAATGCTCGCAAGTTTAGTCTTCTTCCTCTCCCTCTTGTTCGGCAATGTTGAAGTAGCGAAGTTCGTAAACATTGCGTTCTTTGTTTGCAGCAATCACCCGAAGCCAATCCCTCACATTATGCTTCTTCAAGTATTTCTTGGTCAAATACTTGAGGTACCTATAAAAACAAAACAAAAATCTGACAATATGATCCCTTTTCCTTTTCTTTTTGAATGAGTAAATATCCCTCTTTAGTTCCATTCATCTCTTGCCTCATGATTCTTCGATATTTGGTTAACATCATTTATTTCAGTAACTGGCAAAATCAGCCCAAATAAAATTCACAAACTCCACATTTCACATTTCATTTTGGAAATTCAGACCAGAACAGGTAGTGAAACTTCATCAATCAAATCAAGATCAATAAAACGAAAATATCGAATAAGTAATAACCAGTGTCATTAGAGGTAAAAATGAGCCTAGCTGAGCTCGAGCTTCAAAAATCTCGAGCCTTAACGAGCCAAACTAGAGTATCGTTAACGAGACGAACTGAGTTTAGCTAAAGAACAATAGTGACATTGCTCAGAAGCCACCAAACAACAGTACTTCACAAATGCTCGCAAAGAAAATTTGATACATACTTTTAAGGTCCTCACATGAACAAGGGTAATAATTTTTTTGCAGAACATTTCTTTCGTGTAATGTTACTGTCAATTCACTTAAGCTTCTTAACCTTAATTATGTTTTTTTTCTCTGTACTTCACTACTTCTCCCTCTTTAGATTCTGAATTCAGATGAACTATAAAACTCTAAAATATTGAACACAAACACCAGACCTGACACACATTCAAGCTGTAACCAACAAAACGAGCTATAACAAAACACAGACGAAATCTAAAAAGGGGCAAAGCACGAGCAGCACATAACAAATTGGCAAGCTCATAGAAAAACAAACGCAAAAATATCAATCACCTTTTGGAGAAAGCCGAATCAGCGGTGACGGTGATCTTGTTCTTCTCACGGGAAATTGCGACGGAGTCGCCGAGAGCACCGGCCTTACCTCCCACCTTGATCCTTTCCTGCAGGAACTTCTCGAGCGAGGCGATCTCCATTATCTTATCCTCCACCGGCTTCGAGCAGTCGATCACGAAGATCGACCCCTTCTTCCTCCCGCCTTTAGCCGCCGCCGCGCCTCTACTCATCTTCCTCAGCTGATTTTTCCTGCACACCAATCGACGACATTAGTGGGAAACTTCACGATTGAGCTTATGGGAAAGCAAAAAATCCGCGAAGGAACGTGCGAGTGGTGGAACACCTCACGGCTGTGAAATCGAACGCTGTGTGTAAGTGTGAGTTTTGGAGAGGGTGAAATGTAGGGATAAAAGGGGAGCTGATGCTCGTCTAGGGTTTTGCCTTTTGGACTGATAGCGCCTCTGGCGTACGGTTCGAACCGGTTCGTTTTTTTATGAAACTCTTGGTTCGGTCTGGCCGGCTTTTTAGTTGACATCTTTTTGTACACAAAAAATAGGGTTAGCTGCAAGAAAAACAATAAACAAAATAAGTTTAACAACAAAATCTTAGATCTTCCTACCTTCCCAATATGCTCAATAATAAAAAAATATAAAATTAATAAATCTCAATTTCCCTTCTTTGTTGAATTTGGATTTTGGATCATAAGATATATTTGATGAAATGAAGTGAAAAAATATTATTTTAACTTCCTTTTTAACTTATAACTTATGTAATAGTTATTGATTTTAGACAATGATGTGATGTGTAGTGAATATAATGATAAAAAATATTTTTTTTTTCATTGTGTTGATATCTTTACAAAAATACACGTTTTAAATTGATAAACATCAAACTTAGTATACCAATTTATTAAAAACACAAAAACATCAAGCACCAATTGGTGTTGTTCGACTCGATTAACGACCCTCCATATACATTGGTTCTATATACGAAATTCCAGTCAAGTTGAAATTCATTGCCACTCAATATTCTGCCTAAATTAATTTGAATTGCCCCCTGTCCAGCCTAATTCCAACATCTGACATTCATTTTAGTTGATTGACCACTTGCTGGATTTTTAAATGGCCGTATCCACAAAATGTTAGTCTAATTGGAGTTTGTTTGGCCCACTAAGGGTGTGTTTGTTATAGGAATAATTTGGGTGAATTAACTCAAAGTGACTTTTGAGTTAACTAGGATTAATTTAGAAAAAGTGGTGTAATAAAGTTGTTAGTGGAATTTTGAGTTTATATTAAAATAATATTGAACATAAATGATTAAAATTGGTTTGATGTAAAAGTATGGGAGAGATGATATGATGTGATGATTAGTTAAAATTATGTGAGTGGATAAATAGTGAATTAAAGTTTATATGATGTGTAAAGATGATTGATTGTTATTATTTAATGGTTGGTTGTTATTATTTAATTATATTGATAATATTGAGGATAGTGAGTTTGCGTTAAATTTTGAGTAGAATTAATTTGGTTTGAGTATATTCTTTAACAAACACACCCTAAGTATTCGGTCTAACTCAAGATGTCATATCCAAAATATATCAGCTCAAACAAAATTTGTTTGCCATTTAATTTTTCATTCAAAGTGATTTCGGTTGTTTTCTATTGGATCTAACTTTAGTTTTGCCTAGTGTTTGTTTAAATCGAGTGACATATTATCATTGGATTCAACTCGTCGAGTCAATTGTACCAACAAAATTCAACCCATTTGGTCGTCTCTCGAAATTTGGTTAAAAGGTGTATGCACCAATTCCATTTTCAGCTCACGATCAACAAGCATTCAACCTATGATAAGTTTAATTAATCTGACGTTTATCCCACTCAATAACTAATGTACATTTTTTCATATTTTTGATAAATTAGTGTACTAATTTGATAAGTGCTATTACACCGTACATATGTTTAGATTAATATGTGAGCGATTCAGTTTCGGAAGAAATGTCAAATTTATGTATATTGCAAACTTTTAAAAGTTAGTAAAAAAAAAATGAAGCCTAGTTTTCCATGGACCACACTTTGCAATTTACAACCAAAAAAATTTTTAAGTTGTAAAATACTAAAATCTAAAACCACGAATATTACATTTTGCAAAAAAATATTTTCCCGCTAAAAATAATAAAAATGTATTCCTATGAATGAATTTAATGAAAATCAATATCCATGGGCAAATTTCCCGCACTGCCAACCAAAGCGACTGTGGGAAAAGGCGGTTTCATCTCAGCCGCCGGAGGTCGGAAATAAGAGAAATGAGCAATCGCCATTACAGTGAAGCTAATTAACCTCGTCAAATCGTGGAGGACCTCTCATATCTTGTACCGTGTTATTATCTGTCCGTCGATTAAATCCTACGCACTACGTCAAAACCCAAAATACTATCTCCTATACTCAGCCGCACAGTTTGTCAGTTTTTGTTGATGAGCTCACAATTATTACTGGATTGTTGATGTAGAAAAGCTTCAATGGAGGCTGGAGCTATGTGGGATATTGCTATGGCCTATTTTGATGCTAAAAGACTCGGTAAATTTCATTTTTCCAGCTTTGATTTGTTTGTTTGGATATCCGAATTTTTGCCTGCTCTCCGAGACTCCGACTACCAATAATAAGACAGCTACATTCTCATCTATCAACTCTTTTAGAAACCTAAATGGGAATTATTGAAGGAAAGGTGTTATGGGAGATATAGGTTCACAAAATGTCACACTCTACACGATTGTGCTTGTTCTGTGATTTTCTGTGTATTTTCCTGTGAGCAAAGGATTAAAGAGGGCTGAATTTTGGCATATGTGTGTTACCACTCATTTCGAATTCTGCCCTCATGTTTATTTGGGACAGATATTGATAGGTATAGGTGGCAATGCTCTAGCAGCATACACTGTAAGCTACTCAACCATTTTAATTGTTATCGTCCGTGTTATCCCATTGTTTAATTGTCTTGTTATTTCAAGATGGATTCACAAATATGTCACACAGTTGTGCTTGTTCAGTGGTTTTCTGTTTATTTCCCTGTTAGCATAGGATGAAAGAGGGCTGGACTTTGATATTTGTGTGTGTATTGAGGACTGTATGAAGTGAAACTGTGCTTCGATTATTGCCACTCATTGTTTTATGTGGCAGTGCATGAGCAGCATACGCCATAAGCTATTCAACCATTATAATTGTGCCTTTTCTTGTTATTCCATTGTCTAGTTGTCTTGCTATTCAAGTTAAATCGTAGGTTGTCAATCCCTTCACTCGAGCTATTCTTTTTTGTTTTTTAATTTATTTGGAGGCCAAGTTAACAAGGAATTATTGCTTTCTATGTGGTAATAACCAAATGAGCAATGTTTATTCTAGTTTATCATACTGTTCGCTGCAATACAATGCTATATCAAATTTTGCCATGTGACCTCTAAACCATTTTGGTACTAGCTCATGTAATGCGAATGTGTTTTTCTTTTATTGTGTTTTATGACCTCATTAATATAACCAAAGAAAGAAAAAATGGGTGGTGAAGAAACTTGTTCACTCTTTTCTATGTTTGTGGATGATGTGTTCTCCTCCCCACCATCTCTTCAGTCTAGTTCTTGTGATCGTGAGTGTGATAGTGTATGATAATCGAACAGTTTTCCAACTGCTGATGTTCTATTATTCCTTCTTGTTTGTAGGATTATTTGCTGCATTATTTTCATTCATTTACTGTGGGGTACAATTTCATTTCAAACTGTTTGTTCGGTAGGAGTTTGCGATTAACTATGAACCTAAGTGTTAACTCCTTTTCGTTCTTCCTATATATGGCTTTTTTAGTATCTGTTTCATTTAAGTATAAAAAGAGTTTTACATGTAAGTTTTAGATGGCATATGTTTTATGTGTAAATATGGAACTTTGAAATTTAAGTTTGTTTTAAGTTACATGGAATGAAACATCTAGTGTTCCTAGAATTTCTTATAAACAAGATAATTTCACTCTTGGGGATTGGGGCGTGCCTGTGGATTGTTTATTCACGTTTTTTCTGTCCCTTATCCATTAATAATTTCTTTGAATGATGTATTCTTCATCCCTTAAGACCATAAATCAAAAGTTTAAGAATTTCAAAGAAATTATCAATAGCTCCTTCATGGTATCCTTGTCATATGAAATCAGAGAAGCAATCGGTCTGAGTTACAAACCGTATTGGCTCACCAGTTGGAATGATTGCAGAAGCAAAAATTCACAGTTTGCATGAGCTAGAAATTGGTGTTACAAAGTCATTTTTCGTTTATTAGTTATTCACATATTTTTCTTAAAATCTGCTGGGCTCGAAATTCTCTTTATTATGGGGTTGATGGCCATAATAATTATGCTAAAGAAATCTCTACTTCGTGGCTTACTCACTGTACTTATAGTCAGAGGCTGATGCATGTAGTGTGTTGATAGTTAGCCCTTATTTATGTAGAATGGACATGTGTATCTTTGAATAATATCTTGATTTGTCAAGGATCTTGAGACTATTAAGATAATACCTATTTGTTCCTTAGCTCAGAGCTAATGTTCAGACTCACAATCTTATTAGGATGATACTTTGGCGCTGCTTTTTGCACTGAAACCCGACTCCCGAGATTGGAAGCAAGTTGCTGGTTTTACCGTCCTTTTTCGTACATATGTTCAATTTGCTAAGGATTCTACATCTGTTTGATGCATATCCACCGGGTGAGCAAGCCGTATCTCTCTCTCTCTATATATTTTTATATATATGTGTGTGTTATTTATTATGTCAAGTGAAATTGATTGTCATTAGAATTCAAAATATTCTTTGAGGCCCTTTTGAATGCAGTTTTATGTAGATACTTTTACCTCCAGTAACTAGATATTTTTTTCCCGTTTGTGGGAACGCTAATACGGTTCACGGTCATTGTGAAATAGGGAAATTATATCATGCTAATGCACAGGTTTGGTGAGTAACTTGATTGCAAGTATGGTTATGCTTTTTGTTGGAAGAACAGTTATTGACTATTGAGTGACAAAAGAAGAAAAAAGATTTAAGTACGTAGGTCAAACTTGAAAAATAAGAAAATAGTGAACGTGAAGTTTAGTTTATTTAGGATTTTTTTTTCCTAAGTTGTGCTTAGGCTATAATCTTTTGCAAGTTTTATGATCACATTGTACTGCTATAATCCATCTCTTACATTATAAGTTGTAGACTTGTAGTTCTCACATCTCTATCAACTATTTTTCATTACACCTTTCTAGTGTATAATTGGTTTGGTTTAGTTGAAAATTTGTGATGTGTACCTATTAGATTGATTTCTATTTGCCTACCTGTTGTATTAAATTAAAACCAAGTATTTTAAGTGCACAGCAAAAATGTTCAGAATAAACTTAAAAAAATTCAGAATAAACTTAAAAAAATTACACAGGAACAGTGTTAAGTCTCAGAACATTGGAATTTTTTTTTTTGTCTAGCGTGTTGAGTATGTAAGCTGATTGTCAGAAGGGGAAGTTGATTATGTTTCATTTAAGTTACATATGTAAATGAGCCCAACTCCAGCTTTTAATACTTGACCTCTGGCTCATGCCTTTATTGAGTTGAGCCGAGGTTGGTGTTGACTAAAGGAGTCAGTCAACGAACTCGAGTTCAATTCGTTTATCAATATTAACGAGCTGAACTATAAAACATTACATGAAAATGCTTATTTTTGAGCCTTAACAAGCTAAGCTCGGCTCGACTCGACTCGTCAATTAAACGAACTCGAGCTCGCCTCAATGAGCTGAGCAAGATTACGAATGACTTATTTCGTTTAACAAACATACAATTTGTGGTTAATGTATATGTTGACCTAACATAGGGTAACTTGTATTGTTAAGTAGTGTATTGCATTTAATGAGGTAGTCACGGTATATTTGTGTTAGGTAGGGTTGTTTCATCAACCATGACTAGGGTGTATCGAGTCTAACCAAGCTCGAGTCTTTAACGAGGTTTGCTAACTAAACGAGCAAGTAATCGAGTTCGAGCTCCTCCAATTTATCAATGTTAATGAGTCAAGCTCGAGTTTTAATAACTCGAACTATAAAAAGTTATATAATAAATTTTATTTTCATGCCTTAACAAGCCAAACCCGACTTGTTAGCTAAATGAGCTTTCAAGAGCTCAGTTTGTTTATGAAATGAGCCACACTGAACTTCAGCCTTAACGAGTCGAGTCGAGTTCGTGGTTTTCTTTGTTTGACAACTCTATTTATGACAAATTTTATGTAGCGCTACAATAAAAGTATGACATTTTATAATATAATAGTATTTAAGCATTTATTGTTTAACTGCTGTAAACGTTTATTTTAGTTTAGTGAATGACATTTTAACCGAAATTTTAGTAATATGTCTATATTAGTCCATTTTTATAAAAATGAACTATTTTAGTTTGGTGAATGACATTTGAATTTCAGTTTTGTTGTCTATATTACCCGCTTTTAAGAAAATGAACATTTATTTTAGTTTTGTGAGTGCATTCTAATCCGGTTTCAGTATTGTGATCTATATTAGACAATTTTTATAAAAATGAATGGATAGCACTTCAGTAGTTCAGTTGACAAACATGTATGTTGCCATTTTTTTCTTTTCTCAAGAATGGATTTGTAATTCGAAAATCAACGAAAGGTCGAACAAGAAAAGTGCTGGTTCGTTGTCAAATATGTCAATTATATAATCTTTACACGTGTGTCAATTAGGTCCGTAGCTTCAAACTTTCCTCAAAATACTAATAACTAGTACAATACCCGTGTACTATACGGGTACTTGTTAAGAAAATTATTTTTAAAATTAAATAATAACAACAACAACAATTGTTTAAAATTAAATATATGTATTTATATTAGGCTAATTTGAGGTTTTCATGAAAATTAATGAGCCGATTGAGAGTTTCCAAAACAAATCAAGGTTATATTAGTCAATCAATATCATTATGTCATTACCAAAGGTTCCAATACAACTTAAGGGTTATATTAGTCAAACTATTATGGAATTACCAAGTTAGTTTTTCAATATTTTTAAAATGTTCGAACCTAAAATTATTGATTTAAATTAATATTATTTTTTGTCCAAACCAAACTACGAAACATGTTTTTTCGCCAAGTAGGATTCCGAAGCGTGCGAGACTGCCACTTAGGCTCAGCGGATTCTGCAATTATATATAGTAAGGGGATTTGTTTAACTATCTTTGCTTGTTAGGTTTTATAGTAAATTCCACTTTCCAAAATACTCGGTTTTCAGTTATATATCATAAATTTTCCCTGTGATGTACAATATAGGTAAATCACAATATCGCACTTGATCAAAATTAAATATTTTTAAAAAGTATGATAATCAATTAAATAAGTAGATTCAAATTGGTAACATAATTTATCAATGTTAAGTATTTACACATCATTTATACATTTTGTAATATGGTGTATTGGAGGATAAAAAATATGAAAGATTATAAATTTGATGATGTGTTTTGTAATTAACTACAACGTGTTTATGTGTTCTGATTATCAATATTTTTTGCATTCCACTTTTTCAACATATAAACATATTTATAAATAAAAATATAAAAAACAAAACAAAAGATAACATGTCTAACACATTTTTGTTACTCTAAATGTTCAAATCTTACATAATATTGATAGGATAACATGTCTAACGTTATCATATGTAAAAAGTATATATTTCCAATTCCACTAGATGAATGGTGGAAGGCACTATAATAGGGGAAAACTTCTATGATCTTTACCTTATAAATTAAAGCAAAACCAATGTGGTAGGCTCATTAAATGTATGTGGAGCCAAAAATTTATTTTCTTTTCTGGTGGGGGCTGAATTGGGCGCAACGTAGGGTAAAATTATTAAAACAAAGCCAACTACCACAATAGTAATAATAATAATTAATTGGCCTTGACCATTACATGGTGATAGTATATTGAGAAAGCTAAGAAGAAAATGGTGAAAATTTGAGAAAAGTCCCATCACATCAAATGCCATATTTCACATGCATCCTATGATAGAGAGAGACTTCATGTTCTGTACATCTAATGTATATATTATAGCACATGATATCTTTCTTTCTCATTGTTTTGTTACCTCAGCATAATATTAGCCAAAAACCGAAGTGTTAAAGAAGTTAGAAATATGACAAAAAGCAGCTCATCATAACTCCCTCTCCTTAAACACACTTTTGTTTCATTTTTTTGGTCAAAAAAACAGATTTTGTTGCTGGTTGGCAGTGGTCTGAAAATAAAAATTCAATCTTTTTTGTGCTGACAGCATGGATTTTGTGTACCAAGAGGTGGGTTTGTTTATTTTTTGTTGCTTTATTGCATTTTATGTTATTTCTTGGTGTAATAATGTGGCACTTTTTACTGTTACCTTTAATCTGTCCTGTGGAATTTTCAGGAGTATGTGAAGAACTCAAGAGGTGTGCAGCAATTCACTTGCAGATGGCTGCCCCTTTCTTCTCCAAAAGCTCTGGTTTTTCTTTGCCATGGTCTATCTCTCTCTCTCTCTCTCTCACACACACACTAAACACATATTCACGTGCTTTGTGTTCAATTTTTTGAACTGAAGCTGTTTGTCATATTAAATGGCATTGATTGGTTTGTTTGCAGGTTATGGCATGGAGTGCAGTAATTTCATGAAAGGTGATTCAGAAGTAAATGTTTTTACATGTGATGTGTTCCTGAAAAGTTAACATTATCTATTTGTCGGTTTTTATCATTGGATCACATTGTTTTGATCTAATGATGGAAAAATCGTTGAGGACAGTGCTTTCACAGGTAGGATCGAATCTACACTTAATGATAAAAACGAGCCGTTTAATTTGGGTTGTTTTGTGTGTGTATGAGCCAACTATATATAATAATTAAAAAAAGAACCTTAGTGCTCCCACATTTAGGATCAAATCTACCCTATTAATGATAAAATGAGCAGATTAATTTGGGCTGTTTTCATTTTAGTAACATTTTTTACTGGGAATATGTATATATATTTCCCTTTATATGCAAGCTTATAACTCTTACGTTGAAATTCTTTCGCATAAAAGGCTGTATAAACTCTTCCATTAAAGTCCCTAAACTTTCTCATGATTTTCCATTTCAATTTGCATATAACATTTTACTCTTTCATCATTGAAGTCCCTGAACTTTCCCATTTTTCAATTCGTGTTGCAAACTTACAATAGTACAATTGTGTATATCTGTGTGAGAGAGAGAGAGAGATGCAGAATGCCCATGCCTTGCTACAGTTGATAATTATTCTTTCTTATTGATGTGAACTTGATTTCTTTATTCAAACCGACCTACCAAGGCTGTAGGAAGCCATATCCGTATTATATAACACCATTTGTTAATTATCTATTTTGAGTTTAGCAGTACTCTAAATTAAACTTTTTTATTATTTTATTTTTTTTATTTTGTCTTGTTTAATTTATTCCTTTTCTTGGTAAGTGTAGTTACTATTCTATTGTTGATCTTTTATTTCAATTCTGCATATAACTATTTCATATTACACATACATACATGTATGTAATATAAAATTGAATTCAGAAAGTCAAAGCTTTTAAAGAAAACTGTTTCTATGTTTGAATTAAACTTTGAAATAATTTTAGTAACCATTGACTGCTGCTTCTAGAAAACAATATTGGTGTATTTGTTTGGTTGATTAGGTTATCAGGCATCACTATATCTGGACATGCTGACCTGTTACCAGCTTTCTTCTACCACACAAGGATAATTTAGTAAATTGTCTTGGATTCTTTCTTCTAATTTTGTTTACTTCTTGCCATATTCTGCTGTTTTTTCAAAATTTTCATCACTTGCCACTTTTAGTAGGGATTTACTATACTTAGAAACGGTATTTATTTATTGGTTGTTTAAACTTCATTTTCAGGCATTATTTATCTGATTAGTTAGTTAACCAAATTGCGGTTAGGTGTTGGAACAAAGCTGGCAAGTCACGGTTTTGCTGTTTTCGGCATTGATTACGAAGGCCACGGACGGTCCATGGGCGCTCGTTGTTACATCAAGAGATTTGACAACATTGTCCATGACTGTAGTTCACATTTCAAGTCCATTTGTGGTAAGTTTACCTAAGTTCCCCACCATTTCACATGTTTTTGGTATCTGTTAAATGTTTTCCGATGCAAAGGGTCAAGTATTCTTTTACTCATGAGCTGCATTTTGCTGTTGTTAGTTAGACTGTGTTTGGTAAGCATATATGCTAAACGTATAGTTTATTTGATTATTTGGTAGGATGAACTTTTTTAAAAAGCTCGAGCTTATCTCATAAGCTTTCTTTGGGTAGTTTTTCAAATAAGCTCGTCCGAAATTTTTATTTCAACTATTTTACCAAACACTTTTATCATATAAGCTAGTTTTTTCAGCCATAAGTCATACATTAAGTAGGTACCTAGGTTTACCAAACATAGCTTTAAAAATGGATGATTGAGTGATATCTTTTGATAGTTGAAATGCTACATCTTTGATAATTACAAACGGCCTAATTGAAAGAGGGAAGTACAACTCTAGTTATCTTTCAAAATACGAATATTGCATTCATTGTTTTCCAACCGATATACAGAATTATGGATACACCAATTGAAGATGCAATTTAAAACAGGTTCATATTCTTGAAATTTAAACCGGGCGTTTGTTTTTTGATTCAGCACAGGAAGAGTACAAGGAAAAGAGAAGGTTCTTATATGGGGAGTCAATGGGTGGAGCAGTGGCTCTATTAACACACAAGAAAGACCCTACTTTCTGGCATGGGGCTGTTTTAGTGGCCCCCATGTGTAAGGTTATACACAAACATTACTTAACTTTATCGTATTTATTCATCATCTGCAAGCACTTATATATACATACAAGTGATTTTCAGTTTCTTTTCTCTTCTTTTTATGCTTTTTTTGCAATTTACATATGCTAAACTCTGCATCTAGATTCTGAAACTTAACTCAAAATGAAACTTAACTCAAACTAATACGTGATTTTGATTTCGATTTTTTAAATTTTTGCGATGTTAGATCAACGAGAAGGTGAAGCCACACCCCATAGTTATTAGCATTCTAACAACTGTGGAAGATGTTATCCCGAAATGGAAGATAGTTCCTGCAAAGGATGTCATTGATTCGGCTTTCAAGGACCCTATTAAACGAGAAGAGGTTAGACACAAGAACTATAGCAAAACATACATTTAACTTTGATCAAGAAACAAATAAATATCATTGCAAGCATGCATCTTGTTCGTTTTTTTCTGCAGGTTCGTGGCAACAAATTGATATATCAGCAGAAGCCCAGATTGAAAACCGCGCTTGAGATGCTCAGAACTAGCATGAAACTTGAGGAGAGTTTGAATGAGGTCACTATATACTCATACATTCATTGCAAATGTGTTTATATATAGGGGAAATTTTTCTTTACCTCCCAAAGTATGCATTTCCTTGACAGATTACCTTCCAAAGTATACGAAACTGACAATTTGAATCCTCTAACACAAAAAAAGTTTTTAACTCAATTAATGATAAACATTGAATTGATCTTTAAAATTGATTTAGAGCTTTTAAAGTCAATGGCGAGACGAACAAATTGAAGTATAGTTTATCGATTTCTGATAATTGAAACTTCGATTAAACTTTTCTAATAATCAAGATATCCGATTTTCCACTGTGAGGTGTCATTTGAAAGCATGCAGGACGAGTTTTCTAACGAAGCAAATTTTTCCCTTGTTAGTAGATTAAGCATTGTTCTTTTCTAGAAACTGAAAAATCAATCTTTTTCGACCCGAATGCATTACTATATTGGGTAGGTTACCCTTCCGTTTTTCGTGCTGCACGGTGAGGCGGATATGGTGACAGACCCGGAAGTTAGCCGGGCCCTCTACAAACGGGCCGGCAGCTCGGATAAGAAAATCAAACTGTATCCTGGGATGTGGCACGCACTGACAGCTGGCGAGCCGGACGACAACATCGATGCCGTTTTTTCAGACATCATACAGTGGCTCGACGAACGAGCCGGAGATGGTGGGCCCCACGTATTGAATCTGGCTGGCCGGGTGAGCCCTCCTCCGGCCAATGATCCGATGGTGAAGATGACAAGGAAACCTGTTAAGAGACGGTTGAACGTGAGGTTATGTGGCTTGAGGAGTGGTCGTAGCACGTAGCATTTTTCAGCTACGTAATTTAATTTTAATAATCTCTTTTTTCTTTTCGAGTTGTTTTGAATTATGATAAAAGAAGTGATTTCTTTTGGGAGAAACAGCTTTTAATTTGATCACTATATCACAAGTAGANCACAATTTAAAAACACTTCTCTTCAATTCAGATAGTCATGATCGGATATCGCTCAATATGAGTGCAGAATAGAGTAAATCCACATGACTGTACTATACAATTGAATTATGTGATCGCACGATGTCGGGTGTATAATATAAATTTTGAACTAGTGTGAACAAATTAGTGTATGAAGAAGGAAAAAATATAGTCAAAGTATTACAAATATGGAATACTACCAATTACAGATAGGAAGAAAATTATTAGAAAACTAATATATGATTTAAGATGTTAAATATTATATAAAATATGAATTGTCATTTTTTCTATTTTTTTAATGACATTTATTTATAAATGGATTTTTTTTAATGTGTAAGACATACACCTTTATATTACTTTCCACATTTGCTATTGATCTCTTTTCCAATGTTAGATACGAAATAATATGGTCACTAAGTAATAAAATATTAACATGTCATATACATACACGTGAGTATGTGATTGAAAGATCACGAAATCTTGACACGTAGTTGACAGATACATTTTAATATGCTTATAGTGGCTATGCGAACAATTCCTTACATATATGAACCTTCTATTTTATTTTATATTTTTTTCTCATCAAGAAAATAAATAATGATACATTTAAGTGTTATTATTAGATTATTAAAATTTAGACTAACTAAAAATCCATTCAAATAATAGACTAACAAAATAATATAGCTATTTGACATCTTTCCAATTTACTATGGGCTACACCTATATCTTAGTACTCCACACATGATATGAGGCCCATTTTATTTTTATCTGACATCAATCGGCCCATTTTACATGTCAACACTTTCAAAAAATTTTAGCCACCTTATTTCTAAAGTTTCCCCTTACCGGCCAAGCAGAGAACTACAGGTAGACAAAGCTCTCGCCCAAAACCTCAAATCGCCGCTGGTGAGTTTTCCGTCCTCTAATTTCTCTCAATTTCGCGTTTTGTGCGTTTTGACATTTGCGAGTGTAGCGCATGATTTTTGCATGTGCAGATAGTTTTATCGCTTTAGTATCTAAAACCCTAACACCGATTTTCAGGAGTGTAAACTGAAGCTGGTCGAGCCTAAATCTTTCTGTGGAGATCGTATTTTAGTTGAATATGAGGTGAGTCTATATGGAGCAGTTACTTTCGTCTTTGAATTTCGAAATTCGATTTTGCTTGTTCTTTGTGGCAAAAACCCTAGATTGGTACTGATTTGTGATTTTTAGTTACGGAGTTTTTTTTTTCGGAGTTTCATAAGGCCCTAGTTTGTATTAGTTGAAGTTTGGAATTTTATGTAGGTTACAACAGATTAGTGCTTGTTCACTTTCTCCTGCCTTTTGGACTAGCATTGTTTTGAGACTTTGAGTTACTATTTTAGAAATGACTGATCAACTTTAAGTGCTATTTTGGTTTGTTTTATTATTTTTGTTGTTATTTTTCCCTTTCTCTCTTGTTTGTTTGTTTGTTTTTTTTGTTTTTTTTTTTTTTGTTTTTTTTTTAGTTTGAGTTTGTT